GTTGACGTAAACAATGTTGTCAGAAGGAAAGATCTCCATCAATTTCTCGGGTGGGATGTTGTTATCATACTCAATAAGCTCGTCACCTTGACTTTTCAAGATCTTAGCATAGTACTTTGAATTCATGTTTTGACTTGAATGAGTTCTGATTCTGAAGATGATCTAGTTGAATTTGGTATTTAAAGACTCTTGTGATTTGTGGTAAGTTTATGTTTGCAACTAAAATCAAAAAAAAATACTCTGCTTCGGCTGCAAAAATAAAGTGTACGGGTGTATTGAAACGAGTGGATGAAGATAAAGGAATTTGCTGGTTATTTCAAACACATAGCAGCTACTGGTGAAGTGTAGTCATAGAGGACATTTGCAAGAAACATTAAAAGAAAACAAACAGTGCCGTTGAATACATATAGCTGAAATGGTGAAGGTATTTCTGTAGAAAGATTAGTTAACAAAGCAACAGATCAGGTGGCACTTTTAGACTTAGAGAAAGTTGCTTTACAAGAATTAATGAGATCTAGCAGCAGTATCTCCTTGTATAATATTTGAGTTTTAGACTTAAGATCTGAAACAATCAAATGGTTAGCTGAACTCGTTAATTCATTCTATATTTACTCTTAAAATGTAAGTCCCGAGTGGCAAAAGGTGATCATAAGCTGAAAGGAATATTCAAGGTATTGGACTGCCTTTGGTATAGTCTAGGCTTCAACAGCCGTCAACTTAGAAGTACGTATATATATATATATATATATATATAGGTGTACGGGTGTATCGATACAAATGAAATCAAAAAGCAACTGACAGTAATCGGCTTTGAATATTCCTCTTCTCTTTAATGAAAACAATCCTTGTTACCACAGGTGCTACCGTGACCTTCAAGTCATTGCTCGACTACGTTGTTTCCGAGAAGTTCATTGGGTATTTGCTTGAGAAACAACCGGTCAAGCTTATTGTTCAATATGGAAACGAGACTGATTCTAATTCGAATAATGTCTCCAAAGAATATTTTAACCAGGGTTTGAAGGCGATAATTGAATCACTTGATCTTTCAGTGAGTAACGAGTTCAATGATAAATCCACCACAGCCTTTAAGTCCTCCAAATATCAATTAGAATTGGAAGTTTTTGGATTCTCTCATAACATTTCCTCGTACATTGAAGAGTCGGACCTCGTCATATCCCACGCCGGAACTGGCTCAATTATAGATGTGCTTCAATTGAAAAAACCTTTGGTTGTTGTTGTAAATGACTCTTTAATGCATAACCATCAGTTGCAAGTTGCCCAAAAATTATCAGACCAAAATTGTTTATTAATGTGTGAAGCCTCTCAATTGAACACCGATGTTTTGACCCAACTTTGTGAAAAAGTCTTTAACCATCACCAGTTTACTGACTTGAAGAAGCCTGATGGCAAAGTTGTCGAAGGTATAATTGCATCTTGTTTCTGAATATCTTCCTTCTTCCTGGGGCACGGGTGTTCACTTAGCGAAAAATGTATGTACATCAATATATAGTGAAAAACATTAAATACTACAACTTCATTCTCTGATTAACTATGGATAGAAGATCATACCTACCCCCGCCGGCCATCACCACGGTCAAACGTAAGAGAAAACCAAGGTTATTCACCAAGGATATCGAGTCACTACTTTATGCAATGGGAGACGGTCCAGTATCATTAGAATCAACTATAAATGCTTTAGATGATTGCTTATCAGAATATTTAGTGGATTTATCACATAAGTCTTTGGATGTTGCCAAAGCATACGGCAGAACAAGAATCAAAATAGACGATTTACCCCTTGTATTGAAAAACGACCCAGTCAAGTTGGCAAGATTTAATTACATTAGAGAACAAAGTCTTAAAATTGAAATGGCCAAAAAAATGTTTGATCATGATCCTGCTGGAGGTGTAGATGAAGAAGACGACCCAAATACCAAGAAGCTTACTAAAAAACAGAAAAAACAATTGGAACAACAAGGTAAAAAGAAGAAGAGGAAGTTAGCTGATGATTATTCTGATGAAAGTGATGATTATTAATGATATATATATATATTTAATTACTATAAAAATTTTATATTTACATGCAAAAACTAATTGTAGTGTTTATTCTTCATCGGATAAATCGATATTTTCAATAGCTCTACCTCTGACATATTTTTCATTCTTAATTTGTTCTTCTAATTTTTGTAAAATCTTATAACCTCCATAAGTGTAAATTATCAAAGTTAACCCACTAATGAAATAGAATCGATATTTCATTTCTTCAACTAAAGTTTCGGTCATTTTAGCACTAACGTATAATGGTAAAGTAATTGAAATAGTGAGTCCCATTAATTTAAAAATTTGTGAGTTCCATTCATCAACTGCTTCCATATCTCCATAAAGAAATGCTATAGTATAATCATATACCTTCTTCAATGGGAATATTGTCCATATAAATACTAAAACATGTCCACTTAAATCAAGAAAATTGAAATATTCACTCTTCATTATTTGATTTCTATAATAACTGATTGGTTCATGAATATAATAGTAATGAATCATTATTAAGGTAAAAGTCACCATTGTAACATTAAATGATCCTCTAAACACTCTTAAATGATTTTCTTGTTCAAATAAATTACGGATCTGGTCAAAAATATTTCTTTCTTCTCCAACTTCATTAGCTGGTCCATCATTTTGGTCAATTGCTGGACCTGCTTCTCTTGCAGCGGCAGCCGTTGGGTTCGTTGCTCCTCTAGCTTCTTGATTCATTCTTTCCTCATATTTCTTATCAAAGTTAGTTAAAATTGATAATAAAACCGTTAATCCAATGAAAATTGAACCAAAATCAGCTAATTTCCCATCTAATGATAATCCGTATTTTTCAATTTCACCTGGAATGATTGGAACCTGAGATAAAAACATAGTCACTGGTCTACCTATCATTAAAGCGACAAGTAAAATCAGTAATATTAAAATAACTGCAAAGATCCATAACATCAAAATTAAATTCAAACATTTAGTTTTGAAATTTGGTGGCCTATAAACAATTGTATAAGCATTATCATTATTAATTTCATCATCCGATGATTCCGTTTCGTAACCTCCATTAGTATTCAAACTAGTATCATTTGATTCTAGTAACTTATCATCTTTTGTCACTGGTACAAATAATTTTTTTATAAATTTACGAGACACGGTATCATTATCAGGAGCTCTAATGTAATTCCCATCAGGAACGAAGCATGCATTAACCTCTGGGTTTTCCTTAAATATTCTCAATGCATTTTTATAGTTAACTGGTCTGGAATAATCTGGTAATGATACCCCCAAAAATCTATGCCACAAATTTCTATAAATGATATAACCACGTTCTTGTGCAATTGGCTTACCTAAAATGAAATGTGATAACCTTAATTTATGACATGATATTTCAAAAACTCTAGTCCAATAGATTTTACAATATTTAGTAATTAAAGGTCTATCATTCATCAAACGATTAAATAAAAATAAACCACCAATAATAGCAAAAATATTAGGTTTTTGAATTGGAAGGAAAACATTATCATCATTAGAAGGTGTAACGATATAACGCAAACCCCACGTAATACCACCAATACCAATGAGAATAAATCCGGTGTAAACTTTAGCACTAAGGTAGATTCTTGATAATTGTAACATAAAAGGTTTAACCAAGGCATCATGAATTAATCTGGCATTAGGATCGTCAGGACTTCTAATAAAGAAAAGGACCCCTGGTCTTAATATTTGGCTTCTAACCATACCAATGAAGAGAGCAAAAAATAACATATATAAAGTACCTAAGGCCCAATAAGAACCGATTCTCAAATAATGAATTTGTAAATTTGGAACCCCAGAAGTAAATAATAATAAGAAACTTGGGTTACCAGTAGACTCGTCAATGGTAGTGAAATGAGGCAATAATAATGGAGCAGCACAAAAATCTAATAGCCAACCACAATAAACTGGGAAGAAGAAAATTTCGATAGCAAAAATCAAAAATACTTTCAAAGTTGAAGATATTTCGAAAAGGATTTTAAAATATTTTCTAGGAGTACCTAAGATTGGTTTTGAACCAGAAATCAATTTTTTCATAAATTTATAACAAGCATAGGAAATAATACAGTAACCGATCGATAACGAGATAATTCTTTCCACCAAAGTTAAAGATTTAAAATCTTCAGTCAGTTCAGCAACCGTGAGGCTAATTTTTCTTAAAAATAAGTCGTCAAAGATCTGATAAACTGGTTTAATTATTAATTCGGTGATTGTGAAAACTGCAAAATCAGTGAAATCATTACCAGTTTTAACTAACGAGCCATCATCATTGATTATATGTCTAACCAAATCTTTACCCTGATTAGTTTGTAAAATTGAATTTATGATAGGACTAATTAAATTTCTAATGATGAGACCAAAAATTCCGGTGAAAGCATTACCCAACATATGAGGAATCAAGTAAAAGAAAAATAAATAAACCCCAATGATAACATCACAAAGAATCATCAGAACTATAGGAGTTTTCAAATTTAAACTCAAACCTAAAAATTCAAAAATGTTTCCTGCACCATTGGCAGCAGCAGCGGCAGCAGCTTCATTATCGGCAGCAGCAGCAGCGGCAGCATCACCGTTGAAACCATTTTCATCTTCAGATTCTGAATCGGAAGATTCATCAACAATTCGAGGAGGATCATCATTTGGAGGATTAAATTCTGGGATATTTTGAGGCTGAGGTTGATTTTGGAGTTCAGGACGAATGAAAATGGTTCTACTTTCGTCATCAAAGTCCAAATCACTATCATTATCTTCATCTTCACCACGATCTGCTTGTGGGAACAAAACCGGAGGTGCCTGTTCTTGTTGGTCCTCATTTGGTTGAGCGTTTATGGCTCTTCTTAAAGCCTCTTCGTGTTGACCATTAGTTTGACGTTCTTGTAAATCATTAATTGCTCTTACTAATTCTTGAACTCTTTGTAAATTAGCATTTGCATCTTCATTACCATTAGCACCTTCATTTCTCAATCCAACCAATGCCTGTTGTAACATATCAACGAGCTTAGTTCTTGGTTCTTTACCAACTTTACGAAGTAATAATTTAGTATAACCCTCATCTCTAACAACCCATTCATGTTCAATAAATAATGCAAGATTAACAAAACCGAAAACAATAAAGTATCTTGCTCCACTGAAGTAAGTGTAGTCGAAAAACTTTGCTGCTTTAAGCAAATAATATTTCGGAGTGTTCACCGGAGGTAAATCATATTGACTAAAATCAACATCTCCAAACATTAAGGCTTCAGTAAAAGTTGAATTAACATGGGGTAAATGTCCGTCCATAGCATAAGTATAAGCTCTACCAATAAATTTCCAAAATATAGGAACTTGAAAGATTAAACAAAGTACGTATAATAAAATTGATAACGAGATGATTGAAGTTGAGCTAATAACTTGTAAAAATTTAAGCCAAATAAACTTAATTGGTATCTTAGATGGCATGTTCTCATCATAAATCGTTCTGAACTTATAAGGAGTATTACAAATATCACACTGTTCAGTAGATTTATTCGAATGTTTCAACCATTCTAATAAACAATCTTGATGAATATAACGAATTGATCCTCGACATTTACAAGGATGGAGTAATGGCTGTGATGGCGTTCCTTCACCACGACAAATCCGACAATTGTTTTCTGAGTCTGACATGGTGCACCTAAGCAATCATTGGTTCGGAAAGAAGGCAATCACAATCAATTATTGGAATTTTCAAAAGAGATAGATGTCTAATCAGTTGAAGTTAACCTTTTCTAAAGTATGACTTGTGAAATTTCGCACGAAAGTCAAAAAAAAAAAAAATTTTTTTTCGGTCTTCTGTTGCTACGATTGCAAAAATATCATAAAGAGTTTATATTATAGAGAACGGGAACAAGTAGTTCTGGTAGTAGTAGAGTATGTAGTAAAGCAGGTAGTATAATGGTTCGAGTATCAATAAATATATAAAGAAACACTCATTATTGATGACAAGAACGAGCAGAGATGATGTTTCAATAAATATGATACTTATTATTGAGATAATCATGAGGAATCAACTATTAATTTTGTATAGTTTCTTCATTTGCTGGGGCCTGTTTAACTGATTCTACTTTTTCGTGATTATCAGTTTCTTCCAAGTCAACAGCGGCTGGAGGAGCATTATTTTGATTTTCAATAACTTCTTCGGCAATTGGAGCTTCTTCTGAGACTTCATTAGGGAATTCTGATTCGTGAGCTTCTTCTTGAGCCAATTCAACTTGTAAAGGAGTTTCTTCGGCTTCCTTATAATCAGCTTGGTTTTCCACTGGAACAGCGGAGATTTTGGCTAATTCCAGTTGGATAGATTCAGAAGCTGAAGCCAAAGCCGAAGCAGTTGCCACTGAGTAATCTTCATAAGAGTCAAAAAAGGCATTACAATCAAAATCCCAAGAGTTTAACCCTTTGACGCGGTTACATTGAGGTTTGGTCCAAGGTTTACCATAAACAAGAGGACTTAATTGGATGTAAAAGACCAAACTGAACATTAGAAAGATTGATAATCCAACATAAGCGATTTTTTGAATATGTTTTGAACTAGCAGCCAAATAATTGACAAAAATATCAAAGAAATGACCCAAGACCAAAATACCAAAGTAAGCAGCAGGAATATAATGATGTAAGAATAATTGACGACCCATAATGAAGAATGGTAAATAATGTAACCCCCAACCAGCTAAATATAAGAAAACTTGAGTATTGAAATTGAAAACATGTTTATTATCAGCAACTTTTTGACCTGATTGCCATCTGATAATTGAAAATGCAGTGTGAATAAGGAAAGCAACAATACATAAAGTAGAAGACCACCAAACCACAGCATTACCTAAGAAATAAACTTGTTTATTTTCACGAACCCAATAATTGATACCTCTTAAAAGAAGAGGCCATTCAGTTGGACTTGATTGCCAATTATGGTGTTCGGTTAAACCTTGATTAATTTTCCACATTGTTTTATGGGATTCTAAAATTTTATCCCATAACGATAATTTAGGATAATTAATGATTTCTTTTTCATTGGCTGGAATACGATCATTTTCATTGGTTTCAATATACCAATGGGTTAAAGGACGATAACCTTGAGAAGCAGTAGTAACTTCTTGTTGATCAAACCCCCAATCCGGTAATTTAACTTCACTTGAGAAAAGATAATGACCAGTCATTGCGTGTCTGAATCTGATGATTGTATTCAAGGCTTTAACATCATCTCCGGTAGATTTTGATTTATGTTTAACGATTTCCACGATAAAGTCATCATTAGCATCCCCGGCAAAACCTTCAAACCCATAACAAGAAGCTTCCTTTTGCCAATCACGTTCACTGACTGGAGGTTTTTCATCGTGAGAGTGTAATCTACGACCAGTATTGATATGAACCAATCTAATTTTCATATTATCAGTCAAGGGAACAAAATGATCGGGGATGGTATCGTTATAAGGTTCAATCAACCAATTGTTATTAGTATCTAAATGGGGGTATAAAGTAATTTGTTGTTGTTTAGAGCCGGTTGGATAGAAATTATTATGAGAGTGTAAATAACCACCTCTAGTTTCCAAATGACGAATAGTGATGATCGAACCTAAACCAACGTTGGCGGTAATATCACGGGGAATGGTATTACCATTAAGATTTGATCTAAAAGCACTAGTCATAAAAGGACCCCCATCACCTTCATTTGATAAAACTTGGAAATGGATACCAAAGAAAACAACGTATAATAAAGCAGGAATACCTAATAACAAGGCACCACGAGCCACGAAATGACCAACGATTTTTTTGGAAGAAATAGATAAATCACCGATAATAAACCATAATTGGAATAAACAAGAAATACCAACCCAAGCAATGGTGAAAAGCCCCACCCATTTGGAACTCACTGCCAAACCAAGAGCAATTCCGGTGGCAATCAAAGACTTGAACCAGCCAAAACTGAAAGGAATTTGGATTTCAAATTTCTTCAATGCATAAATTGAAGCGGCAATGAAAAAAAGTAATGGAGAGTCCAATAAAATGTAACGAGAAATGGTGGCATTTGCATTTTCAATCATAAGACAACTGGCGGTTAAAAAGGCCACAATGGGTCTAACTCCCGAGTTTCTTAAGGTTAAGTAACATAAGATAATGGTACCCACCCCTAATAAGGCCGGGAAACTTCTCATATAAACATAAGGAACATTAGCTGGGAATTCGTCACCAATGTTCTTGAATTGGAATTCCCCATCAAACCCAAAGATGTAGCCAACGGCGGCAAATAACATCTTAGCCAATGGAGGATGAACATCCATGAAAAATTGTCCCAAGATATATTTACGAGCAAACCCACCAAAATGAACCTCGTCGAAAACAACAGAATTCGGAGTAGCCAAAAACGATAATCTGACAAACAACGAAGTGATTATAAGAATCGCCAATAAAATGTATTCTCCTCCTTGTATTTTTCTATTCTTGATAAGTTTGGGAGTTGGCGTGGTTAATAAAAATGATCTGAGCTTACCGTCCTGGTAAACTGGGTCCACCAATGGATCCACATCAAACAAGCCCTTGTTAGCACCGGCCACCTCTGACTTCTTGAGCAGCTGTTTAGTCCTGGCCATCCTTAGCGTACTTGATTCTAAAGAGATGATAAACAAGCTTGAAATTTTTAACCTGGTGTTTTTTTTTCCATGAATCTTCGCTGCTGAGGTGTCCTCAACGCGTCTCAGGGTCTGAGCAGCTGCCGGAGCATGCTAGTTCTCTGTACACCAACACCACCGGTGCCCTACGGTTGGAGGGGGAGAGGAATACAGGAGCCGTGATGGCTGCTACGTGGTCAGGGGTGCTTGAACGGGGGTGCTGTCCTTGCCATACTGGTGGTGGTAAGGTGTTGGGTGCACGGGCCTGGTTTTGCAACCATTAAACCTTATTGATGTTGAACTTAGTCATTAGTCATTAGTCAAGTCATTAGTCAAGTCATTAGTCATTAGTCATTAAACTCATTAAGCTCATTAAGCTTAGTCATAGTCAAGTTTCAGAGATGGACAGATATACGTTGATGTAAAGTGATATGCAATTAAGCACGTACTACATCAGTACAGTTTACGGTTAAGAGTTTAGCAGTAGTAAACAGACCAGGTTGAACAGTGAAGTATAAGTATAGCAGTAAGTAAGGCAGTAGTATAAGTATAAGTATAAGCAGAAGTATAAGTATAAGTATAAGTATAAGTATAAGTATAAGTATAAGTTTAAGTATAAGTTTAAGTATAAGCAGAAGTATAAGCGTATGTAAGTATAAGTAAGCATAAGCATAAGTATGAGTGTTGAACAATGTAAGAACAGAATAAGTAAGGCTAATAGTAAGTAAGACACTAGCTACTATAACAATAGTCAAAGGCACGGGATGTACGGATTTGTTTTTGCAACCATTACACCAGCCGTATTAACAGGAAGCCATGGGAACCAGGCCCTCGACAACAGAGGAGGCCCCTGGCAGCCACGGATAGAGGCTACGGACAGAGGACCCCGAGAGGCTACGCAGAGGACACGGATAGAGGATGGAGGAAAAAGGAGGACAATGGGGAGGTGGGTGTGGGGGTGTACGGAGGCTGATTTGATCTTATCAGGGGTTTAAGCAAGGATAATAAATTAGAAATTAATAATTAGTAGAAAACACCACATAGCAGAGTAATCATGACATATTATACGTATACTGTTACATGGTGAGTATAGGAAGGGAACAGGGAAAGTGAGCAAGATGCTAACTATAGTATAGGCCCGCTGGAAGGGAAGAAGTGGTTCAGATCACTGGATCATTTGATGGGTGGACGTTGTCGAGTGAATTGACGGCAGAGAATGAGTATCAGAAGCAATTTAGGTTTGATAAGCCGGAAAAGGTTGTGTTTAAGTTTATTGTAGATGGGAATTGGACCACCAATGATGAATATAAGGTTGAGTATGATGAAAATGGAATGAAGAATAATTATATTGATGCAGAAGAGATGATTAAAGTTGAAGAATTTGAAGAAGAAGAAGATAAAGAAGATAAAGAAGAAGATAAAGAAGATAAAGAAGAAGATAAAGAAGAAGATAAAGATCGAAAGAACGACTTAACCCAAGTATCAACCAGTTCATCATTTGCAGCAGTTCTGATTCCAGGATCATCGGGATCAAATTTTGAAAATGTGGATGAAGCGAGTTGTCGTAACGCCCCCATACAAGAACCAATTATCGAATCCCCAATCAACCAGTCCACCTCAACGTTGCCTCAAGGAACGGGAGGCCCTGGAGGAACTGGAACCAACTCCATACAAACGAGTCACCATTCTGGTTATGGTCTTGATGATGGGGGTTCTAATTTACAAAATGATTCAGTAATGCCAGGAACATGGAATGAAACTACTAAGAAAGAAGGAATTTTATCAAGATTTAAAGGTTTATTTAAATAATATATAGTCTTACTTTTTTGACTTCTTTTTCTTTTTTTTACTAATTTTATTATCTTCTTTTAATTCATCTTCTTTAGTATCTAATTTAGTATCATTTAATTCAAATTTTTTATTACTCATTAAACTAGATAACCCAACCGAATGTTTCAGTTCAATATTAACCCCATTTGGTCCTAAAAATGTTAATAACCTGGAAAATTCTTTAATTTTATTGGTTTTATATTTAAGGCTTTTATTGGATCGTGGATTATATACTTTAAACTTGGTGATATTACCCGGCTTGGTCTTGGACTTGGTATAAGTGATTGACACCGTAGACGACGGATACGCACTCAAGAGATGAGTGGCATTATTGATAAAGGTATCAACTGACATGGTTGATTAATGAGTAGTTGATAATTTTTCGACATTCGCAGATGTAATTAAATCTCACCTGCTACTTGTCTAGTGCACTATTACTTACGCTATATACTAGACTAGTCCACTGGTCATATATGTTCTTAGAATACTTATATGCTAGTGCTGTAGCGTCCGACTCGTGCTATACAAATATCTAGCAGGAGTACTACTGAACCCCTATGCTAGTAAGAATCACTATTGTAATACTACATTAGTACAGTGCTAGGAGGTACTAAGACTATTAAAATAATATATCAAGCACTATTCTGACTATTCTAATTATTCATTCTTATACTAGTTGGTTATACTAATAACAATACTATTGTTAAGACTAGCGATAGCTGCTACTAAGATCCTAACATATACGACGGTTTCTTAGTACATGATACGGCTAATACTAGCTAATACTATACAGCTAATAATAATATTCGATGCTGTACTAATCTGCTAATACTATACAGCTAATAATAATATTCGATGCTGTACTAATCTGCTAATACTATACAGCTAATAATAATATTCGATGCTGTACTAATCTGCTAATACTAATACAAGGACTAGTACAACTACTAATACAAGGACTAGTACAACTACTAATACAAGGACTAGTACAGCTACTAATACAAGGACTAGTACAACTACTAATACAAGGACTAGTACAACTACTAATACAAGGACTAGTACAGCTACTAATACAAGGACTAGTACAACTACTAATACAAGGACTAGTACAACTACTAATACAAGGACTAGTACAACTACTAATACAAGGACTAGTACAGCTACTAATACAAGGACTAGTACAACTACTAATACAAGGACTAGTACAACTACTAATACAAGGACTAGTACAACTACTAATACAAGGACTAGTACAACACGGCTAATACTATTCAGCTAACAATAATATTCTACATGATGCTGTACGAATATGCTAATACATCTACTAATACATCTACATGTATAATATACTCACAGGATCAGTGAAGAATGCGATACGAGATACTAATAACAGGTAATGTATAATAAAGTAGGGACAAGTAAGTATACTACAATCAGTGATACATAAATAGAAGCTTCCTTAATAGATAAACAAAGACTAGGCTCGACCTGATTGGCCCACCAGGTCTACACAAAAGAAGATAATTCAAAGATCTGAAGTCAACTCAACTATTTCAACACAAAAGCACTAGTAAATGTACCTTGAGTTATCAACGAATTATCAATATACTCACAACCTTTTCAGCATCCGTGGACCCAATATAGTAGGGTAAGCAGTAAACGATGAGCAGACAGTAGACAGTAAACGGTAGGCAGTTAACGGTGAGCAGACAGTAGACAGTAAACGGGCAAGTAACGGCAGCCAGTAAGCAGTAAACGGCAAACAGTAAACATATTGTAAGGCTGGGCTCAAGTCGAAATACGAATTCCAGTTGCAGCCAAAGGCGAAGGCACTAATTAATTAAACAATGGACCTAATTTATGTACTAATAAAACTTTTATTAATCCTCTAATTGGGTCGTGTGACTCTTGCAACGATCCACTGGGCTGCCCACAATGTAGCACCCGTATCGCCTTTGTCTGAAGCTGTAGCTGTAGCTGTAGCTGTAGCTGTAGATGAAGTAACAAAAGCGGACTAAGTGCTTATTAGGGATGGGCTGAATGGAATTAAGGTTTGGTAAAAAAAGACCCATACCTCCCACGTGGCAGTCGCATGCTCAATTACCCTTTTCAGCACAGGAGGAAATTTCAGCTTATCAATATATATACACGGGCATGGCCTAATTTTTAAATTATCATTGGTAAATAACGATGAAATTTGGTAAGAATCTTATCCATTTGTCGGTGCCCGAATGGAGAGACTATAATATTGATTATAATGATTTGAAGCACCAAATCAAAGAGTTAAAGGATAAGCCGGCAAACATTAGTTTGCTTTATGGTTCATTTATATCAAATTTTGATTATATCAACTTGTTTATAAGTTCCAAACAACACGAAATCGACGTCAAATTGAATAATGCTTACATGGATTACCATAAGTGTGCTGATCTCCACGGGAGCGTACGGCTGTCGAAAATGGACGAAATCCATTTCCATATACTTATTGACTTATCGATTGAATTGAAAAAATTGAATAAGTTTATTCTCATTCAAAAAATCGCCATTAAAAAAATTTTCAAGAAGTTTATTAAGTATAGTGATATTAAGGATGCTGCCAGTTTTGTAAATCAGTTGCAGAACTACTTGCTTAAGAACCGTCGAAGTGTTTATAATATCGATTTGGGTTACTTGACCAATAAGTTGACCAATTTGGTTAACTTGATCAATAACGAGTCCGAAACCAACTCGGTTAAATCGATATACTCCACGACTTCGTCGTATGAGTTGACCCATTTACTTAAAAAGAATTTTAAAATTGATTTTTTGATTCCTAACGATTCTAATACTACCAATGAATTATTGATTAATTTGAACTTGCATATTAATTTGACTCCCATTAACCAAAGTAAGATTTCCTTTATCTACTTAACCAATAGAGATGTGGCCGATAAGCCCAGCTACATCTTGACCGATTCGTTGCTTAATGAGTCATTGGTGGTGGCTCACACGGGTGGATTGAGAGATTATAGCTACTGTATCTTGCATAATGATATCATCAAGAATTTCTTACACTATTTGAATGGAGACGTTGAGTTGGAATCAACTTTAAAACTGCAGTTGGACGGCCATTTGTCAAGTCTTGCCAAATTGACCATCGATACCATTATTAATGATCAATTAAAACCAAGCTTACAAATTATATGTCAGAGAAATCGATACATTGTTGATTCAAATGAAGATGATTACTTGGTTTGTTTCGATCAAGATATCTACACTACAGATTTACCCAATCTAAACTTGGAATTGAATACTGACAAGTTTGATATCTTCCCCTTTAATCACTTGATTATCAGTTCCAATGATTCAAATTTACATAATTTCGAATCAAATTTAATTACTCAAATAAACGACGATAACTCGTTGAAAATTCAATTTAATTCTTGTTATTTAACTAAGTTACCGTTGAAGGTTCAACAGCTTATCAAAAATAAGTTCAGTTTAAACTTATTCAAAAACCTATCCTTTTTCGAATACTTGAAATCTTGTTATTTTAACCAATTGCCAAATTATTACTCAAATCATTTTCAAATCTTATTAAACTTGAACTTAATGAAAAATTTGGAAAATGTCATTATCATGAATGAAGTTGATGAATTGGACGCTAATATCTTACAATCAAATTCAAATTTCTCTTCTTTTAGAAAACCTTCCTCTAATGAATTAAGTCCATTGATTTCTAAACAAGAACCAGAAATTGAATACGAAACTGATGATAATTATATGCTTTTCTTAAACTTAAACAACGTTAATGATCAATCCCTTTTAAACCAATTTATCTTTAATTGTATTAAATTTAAAACTAAAATTTCAAATTACTCCAATATTATCTTGCATGAAAAAAATTTCCTTTATGATTCTATTAATGATGATCCCTATGAAGATTTTACTAATGATTATCAAATTCAATTTGAAATCGATTATGATAACACTCTAAGCTTCTTTTATTTCTCGTTGCTTCTAATTTCGCTTTTCATCGTGGGCATTGACGGGGGAATCATTTACTCTTTGAAAGTTTTAAACTCAATCAATGAAAATTCCTTGATTGTCTTTGTCTTAATCATGGGATTGTTAACTAGTTTGATTTTCAGCAGCTTTTCAATCCTCATCAGTTTGAAAAGATTTAATCAACTACCCGTGTCTCATTCCTTAGTTCTTGGTTCCGGTACCTTATCCGTGATCGTCTGCGTGGCATGGGGGGTTTATACCATGGTATGATCAACTCCTTAATGGTGAGTTATCATTCACTCCATCCATCAGAAGTCTGCATCTTTTTATTTCTTTAACGATTTTCTATCCTTTTAGCTGGCTATTAGGTATCACGACTATATAGACTTATTGCATTTGTCATTTCTCTTCTATACTTTTGTAGACTTGAAGTTCTTAATACCTTAGTACGCAGTATTCTTGTATGATAGTCTATACGTCTGCAAGATTATCTATATGGTTAACTTTATTGTTATCAGGACCGTTTGTTTAGGTTGCAAAAAAAAATCTCCCGGGGGTGAGTCGAACACCCGATCTCAAGATTACTTTGAGGAGAACCCATTACAGTCTCGCGCCTTAGCCAGCTTGGCCACCGGGAGGAATTTCATGTCAGTGAAAAATTCCGGTTTTGTATACTGGCAATGGTTTCATTTCATTTGAGTGTTTAGATACAAAATCAATTTCTTTATTTGTGAATATTTACTTTTAATTTTTATTTTAAATGAAGATTAAGTAAAACGTTTAACGGGTGAGCACCTTTTTGCCAGAAAATATTGCGTTCAGCGCGAGTTATTTGTACAAGTAGGCAAATGTTTGCGAAAACAGTTTTCTGATTGACGGCTCTTCGACCCAGCACAATCCCTTTGTCCAAATTAATGGTCTAAGTGGTGATGTTGCTCCTGTTTTAGCAAAAATTTGTATCAAAGGTTGGCCGTAGCGAATCGTATAGCCGATTTTGCAACCCAGCCGTCGTTTACAGAACCTTTACAAATGTTTTACAGAACTTCAAATCTTACAAATGCACAGTGCTAGGTGAAAATACATTTGCCCTTTACCTGTGGCCATCATACGAATGATTTTTCTAGTTTCAATCTTTTTCCAATATTTCTGGAAAAATGCAATAATCATGACAATTTTCTCAAAAATCGTCAGCATTAACTATCATGAAAGCCAACACGAGATACAGTAAACTACTATGGTCGGGCAGAACGCGACGTTCTCGCGAACGGGTCTGAGATGAAACCGGTGCCAAAGTAAGGCATCGGGCTTTGAGTACCAGACTTCTATTATCAATATAACCAGGGAAAAAACAACGTCTCAAAGCATATTAGCACTTAGCAAAGAGGATCAAGTACCAGTTATGTCATTCTTCACGTTTTGATCAAGATATTACACTTGCACTAAAACCATGAATTATTCGAATACATTTCTACTTTCAAGTCAGAGAGGGTTATACATGCGTGATATGAGTTCAACCGAACACCAGGATTAGTTCTATTATTCATTCCTTGAATCAGATGCATCCACTAACTACAAACATCAACTCAAACAACTACAAACATCAACTCAAACAACTGCAAACATCAACTCAAACAACTGCAAACATCAACTCAAACAACTGCAAACATCAACTCAAACAACTGCAAACATCAAGTGCAAATATCAACTCAAACATCAAGTGCAAACATGTCAACTTGAGGTAATATCTACTAAAGCAACTCAAACACTCCGACCTGAGTTATCCGAACTGAACACCTAATACTTGCTCCGACTCCTCCACCATCCACTTCCTCTTTGCAATCCACGAGTTCCTCTTTGGACATCACGTTCCTCTTTGATCACAGTAATCTTTGCAACTTGTTTTTGCAATCAAAGATTTCAAACCCCATAGTCCCGCCAGCGCACGACCACCTCTGCCCATCAAACCCCGAGGGTTCCAAATTAATTACCGCAAATACTCAAACTGCCATCACTTGCACCCATTGCACCACGGCTTTCAAAACCAACCCAGTATCACCTCCTCCGATAAGCCAACACAAGGAACGCTTGCTTGTTTTTGGTAAAAACTACAGATACATACCCGAGTCACGTGCACTGACCGAATTGCAAACCCCGTCACAACCAATTAAAGCCGCTTATTTTTTAATTACCAAAAATTGATGCAAGTCACGTGCAGTGATCTAATTCCTGCACACAGACGGGGGTAGTTCCCAGTCTTATCCCATCTTAGGACTCCACGATAGAGTGCAAAAGGTGAAATGATTGCAATTTCCAAAGGATATAACTCTTTCTTTTAGCAGAAACTTCTTTTGAGAGTTGATACGATAACAGGAACAACATGGGGATAACTCAAGCGGAAGCTAGTACGTATAGAGAAGGTTTTAGCAACCAGAGATCGTTGAATACTAACAATTATTCAGTTTCCAGTGTTATTAAGAATTTTGGAGGTCCAAGATTCGTAACTCAACCGGCCAAGTCAGTTGAGTCGTCGTTCAGTGGGTTGGAAGATGCTACTGTTTTGCTTGATAATAATGACCCCTTTGCTATTATTGGGGATTATATCGAACAACAACAGGAACCAGAAGAAGGAATACAACCTGATTTCATTAGTGTGACTACTAATGGGGTTACTTTATTCAAGAACTTACCATTTTTATCATTGAGTAGCTTCAAGAATAACGCTATTGTTATTCACGTTGAATTAACCAATTTTGACTATTCAATCATTACTAGTTTAAGAGATTTAGGATACCCAATTTTAATTTCTCAAAATGCCAGTGAAGCTTATAAGTATTCTAAAATTGGATATAATTTAGCTAATAATTTGCAAAAAAGTGTTTTCCACTTTTTCGCTCCTTCAAGTTATAAAAATAACGAAGGTTTTAAATTGGTTAATAATAAAGAATTATTGAATGGAGAAATTGAAACTATTTTATCTTATTACCAGGTGAAACCTTTTGAAATTGTCAATAAAGTGCATAATGCTAAAGATGCGGTTTTATATTTGGGTCAAATTAATGAAGAAATCATACACTCTTTCACTAAAGAAAATTCTTTATTGATTTCAATCAATTTATATAAACCTTTCAATTTGCAAAGTTTATTATCAATAATTCCTTCTTCAATTGAAAGCATAACCTTGGTTGAACAACTGACCACTACTCCTTCAGCTTCTTTCTGTCCCTTATTACTTGATTTTTTCCAAGAATATACTAAATATCAAAGCTTGAAGAATTTTAATAAAATTGTTGCTGCTAGATTTGGTTTTATAAGTAAAGATAAATTAGATCAATCAGTTTCTAATTTATTGGCTAATACTAGATCGGAAAAACCAATTCAAAATTTATCATTTGGTAAATTAAATATTGAATTAACCACTAAATCATCTCAAGCAAGAATTAATGATTCGGAAAATGCAGTTAAAAATGCAGTCAATTTAGAACAAGCTTATTTAAAATTATTACAACAAGTCAATAAATCAAATTTGAATATTTTGAATGAATATAATTCAGAAAATTTCATTTCCAATAATCCAGAATTTGGTTATGGTTCTTTCTTATATTCAAAAGAACAACAAGATGTTTTGATTAATTTAATTTATAAATCAATTCAAGAAAATGATTTTAACTCCATTAACAATGGTAGATTAATTGAATTATTATCAAATTGGTTGATAAGTGCTAAGGCTGGTTCTACCTTTGGTGAATCTAGCGAGATTATTAACTTGTTAGAATCAGATTCAAACTCGGCCATTGCTAAAGAAATTTTGAATTATAAAAAATTCTTTGAAATTAATTCAAATTGGTTAATTGGATCTGATTCTTGGTCTTTCGATTTGGGTTCTTCAGGAGTTCATAATATTGTTACCTCCGGTAATAATATTAATATGTTGATTATTGATTCTGAACCTTATCAAGAAAAAACTCAAAGTCATAATTCTTCTTTCCGTAAAAAAGATATTGGGTTATACGCAATGAATTATGGTGGTTGTTATGTTGCTTCAGTGGCTATTTATTCTTCTTATACTCAAGTTTTACAAGCTTTTATTGAAGCTGAAAAATTCGAAGGCCCTTCAATCGTTGTTGCTTATTTACCATATCAAAGTGAAAATGATGATACTTTAACCGTTTTGCAAGAAACTAAAAAGGCAGTTGATTCGGGTCATTGGCCATTATACAGATATGATCCTTACTTAGAAAATGAACAGGATTCTTTTAAATTAGATTCTTCTAATTTAAGAAATCAATTAAAAGACTTTTTGGATCGTGAAAATAAATTGACTTTATTAGCTTCCAAAAATCCTTTATTATCAAGAAATTTAACTTCAAATGCTAATACTGAAATTAAAAAACAACAAAATAAAATTGCCGATGAATCTTTTGCTAAATTATTACAAGGTTTATCTGGTCCTCCTTTAACTGTCGCTTTTGCTTCTGATGGTGGTAATGCTGAATCAGTTGCTAAAAAAATTAATAGACAAGCTTTAGGTCGTGGTTTAAAATCAGTTGTTTTATCAATGGATGATGTCTCAATTGAGGATTTACCTTTGGAAACGAATATCGTATTTGTTACTTCAACTTCTGGTCAAGGTGAATTTCCAACTAATGGTAAACAATTCTGGGATGCTTTGAAAAATTCTGTTGATATTGACTTGTCTACAATTAAATTTTCGGTTTTCGGTTTGGGTGATTCTGAATATTGGCCAAGAAAGGAAGATAAACATTATTATAATAAACCAGGTAAAGATTTACATGCTAAATTAAAATTCTACGGTGGTGTTGAATTAATCCCATTAGGTTTAGGTGATGATCAAGATGCTGATGGTTATAATACCGGATTGAAAGAATGGGAAGGTAATTTATGGAAAGCTTTAGGCGTTGATAACGTTGAAGGTGTTGAAGAACCAAAACCTTTGACTAATGAAGATATGAAGATTCAATCTGATTTCTTAAGAGGTACTATTGTTGAAGGTTTAAATGACCAATCAACTGGTTCTATTTCAGCCGTTGATCAACAATTGACTAAATTTCACGGTATTTATATGCAAGATGATCGTGATGTTAGAGAAGAACGTAAAGCTCAAGGTTTAGAACCTGCCTATGCTTTTATGGTTCGTGTTAGATTACCAGGTGGTATTGCAACTCCTAAACAATATCTTAAAATGGATGAATTAGCTGATACTAGAGGTAATGGTACTTTGAAATTAACTACCAGAGCTACTTTCCAATTACATGGTGTTGTTAAACATGATTTAAAACCTGCTATTAGAGGTATGAATTCTACTTTAATGGATACTTTGGCTGCATGTGGTGATGTTAATAGAAATGTTATGGTTTCTGCTTTACCTCATAATGCTACTGTTCATAAACAAGTTTCCGATATTGGTGCTCATATTTCTGAACATTTATTACCTCAAACTACTGCCTATCATGAAATTTGGTTACAAGGTGAAGACGAAAGTGATAAAGTTGGTGATCGTGATGCTTGGGAAACTAGAAAGAAAGGTCCCAAAAAGACTAAGACTTTGGTTGCTGGTAATGCTCTAGCAGATGTTGAGCCAATGTATGGTCCAACATATTTACCAAGAAAATTCAAAGTTGTCATTACTGTTCCACCTTTTAATGATGTTGATGTGTATGCTCATGATATTGGTTTAATTGCAATTCTTGAAGAAAATGAAGTTATTGGATTTAACTTAGTTGCCGGTGGTGGTATGGGTTCTACTCATAACAATAAGAAGACTTATCCAAGAACTGGTTCCATGTTTGGTTATGTTCCAAAAGATAAGGTTCATTTAGCCTGTGAAAAGATTATGTTGGTTCAAAGAGATTTTGGTGATAGAACTAATAGAAAACATGCTAGATTGAAGTATACCATTGATGATTTAACTGTTGAAGTTTTCAAAGAAAAAACTGAAGAATTATTAGGATTTAAGTTTGAAGAGCCAAAACCTTTTGAAATTAAATCTAATGTTGATTACTTTGGTTGGTGTAAAGATGAATTTGGATTAAATCATTTTACATTTTTCATTGAAAATGGTAGAATTGAAGATACTCCTGAATTACCACAAAAAACGGGGTTAAAATTAATTGCTCAATACTTAGAAGGTGGTAGATCAGGAGAATTTAGATTAACTGGTAATCAACATTTATTAATCTCTAATATTGAAGATGAAGACTTAGAACATATTAAATCAATCATGTCTGAATATAAATTAGATAATACTAATTTTTCAGCTTTAAGATTATCATCAGCTGCCTGTGTTGCTTTCCCAACTTGTGGTTTAGCCATGGCTGAATCTGAACGTTATTTACCAAAATTGATTAGTAAATTAGAAGAAGCATTAGAAGAATATGGTTTAAGACATGATTCAATTGTTATGAGAATGACTGGTTGTCCAAATGGTTGTGCAAGACCATGGGTTGCAGAAGTTGCTTTAGTAGGTAAAGCTTATGGTGCTTATAATTTGATGTTGGGTGGTGGTCATCATGGTGAAAGATTGAATAAAATATATAGATATTCAATTAAAGAAGATGAAATTTTATCCATTTTAAAACCAATGTTCAAAAGATGGAGTTTAGAAAGAAATGATGGTGAACCATTTGGTGATTTCTGTATCAGAGCTGGTATTATTAAACCAACCACTGAAGGTAAATACTTCCATGAAGATATTCCTGAGGAAGCTTAATTTATTTCTGGTTATAAATTTGTTTTATCGGACTTTTCTAATTATTTATTTCTTGCATTTTGTTTTTATATAAAGTGAGTTTCACTACATCTCATTTGTTTAGTTTAAATCAATATATATTTATTATACAATGTACTATTCATCATTCGTAAATTACTTTTGTTCATAAACTGATGCTTGTAACTTCAACTCATTCTTATGTAGTTTATCAATATCCGAAAGCAATGTACGGATATGTGGCCTATGGTGCCTTTCTACTTCTAATGCATCTTTCACCTTAACATTTCTTAAGGTAACGCTAACTCCATTCAATCTTCGAAGTACTTTAGATTCACAATTTCTAGCACATTTCTCCAGCTGTTTCTGTAACGCCGCCACGTTGATTCTCTTTAAAGTCTTCAAGTACTCCACTAGCCGCTTCTTCTCCTCCCTACTAAGCTTCGTTGCCATTTTATACCTTTCTCCAAGAGTAAATAGTGTTCTATTGATATTTGTTTGATTCAAAGAGTAGTTTTCCATTGATCAAGTACAAAAAACACCCACACACCTTACACCCGTACACCAAACAGTTTTTTTTTATGGAAAAAAAATCGGTGGCAATCGAAAAGTCAAACCTTCAACTTTGGATCAATTAACCAACCGATTGATACTACGATAAAGCCATCCAGTACACTGAGGGAGAGATTGATACTTCGCTTGGAATAGACAGAAACAAACACATAAAGAAAAATGGGTCTCGAAGCAACAATGATAGCCATTGATAACTCTGAATACATGAGAAATGGTGATTTTCTAACAAATCGATATGAAGCACAATTGAGTGCAACTGAGTTTATTTTCCAGAATAAGGTTAACTCCAATCCAGAGAACACTGTTGGGTTATTGGCTTATGGAGGAAATGGTCCGCAAGTTTTATCTACATTGACTACTGATTTTGGTAAGATATTATCAGGAGCCCATGAAACCAAGATATTTGGAGAAAATCATTTTTCAAACGGGATTCAGGTGGCTGCATTAGCATTAAAACATCGTCAAAATAAAGTTCAAAATCAAAGAATCATTATCTTTGTTGGTAGTCCAATAAATGAACTGGAAAAAGAATTAGAAAAATTGGCTAAAAAAATGAAGAAGAATAACGTTGCAATCGATATAATAAATTTCGGCGAAGAAGCAGTTAATACTTCAAAATTGGAAAAATTTAGTTCTGTTATAAATAATCACGATAATTCTCATCTTGTGACCGTTTCAGCTGGTCCTCGTTTATTATACGAAGTAATTGCATCTTCTCCAATCTTGGTAGAAGATGGATTTGATATGGGAGGTGCAGGTGACTTTGGTGGTGATGGTTTCAATGCAGCAGGTGGTGACTTGATTGATCCAAATATGGACCCAGATTTAGCATTAGCCTTGAGACTTTCTTTAGAAGAAGAAAAGTCTAGACAAGAAAGAGAAGCTGCTGAAAAGGCAAAACAAGAATCTCAAAGTGACTTAACCAAAATCGATGAATCTAAAGAACCTGAAAACGAAGATAAAGATGGTGATACTGATATGAAAGATGCAAAATAAATAGATAATTAAAGATTAATAAATTTTTTACATACGCCATTTTGATAATTGTAAGTATATTACAGGTCTCCCAGGGAACTTTCCCTATTCATTCAATATATCGGATTTTGATATTAAATCTCTTTGTTGGTTTTTTTTAATTTTTTTTTTTTGCTGCCATTTGTGATTGCAAAAAAGAAAAAAGTCCCTATACATTGTACAAACGAATCTTATCAAACCAGAAAAGAGAATTTGGGATTTACTTGCTAGAATTCGGATTAATGTCAAATACAACAGCTGGTTCAGGTGTTTCTGTGGGCAGAAAGCATAAGAAAAAACCAGGACAGTCATCTTCTAAAGTAATAGCATCAGCCTCTAAAAATCCAGTCACATTCATTGCTCCATATAATGAAAGCGTTATAACTCCCATAGCATTAACGAAGGCACATTTTCTTGATGCGTATTCGAAAGGGAAATGGAACTTATCAAAAGTACCTTGTCCTCCATGTTTTGAAGATGTAGGTTTTATGTCACCGCCAGATTGTTATCAAGAATTAAATCGTCGAAAGTCAGTTCAAAAATATAATAATTTAAAGCATTGGGATAATAAAATAATTTTCAAGAAGCAAATACGTCAACTACGTAAAAATTTGAATGTTAATGGATTTTCCATTTCATTGATTGATAAAAATAGAACAATCATTAAATACGAAATGTTATTAGATTTGGGGGAAATCCCAAGAATTGCAGCCATCGATTCTCATACTATATTGTCACAAGGTTATTTTTTATTATTGGATGCATCACAAGATTGGAGAACTCGAACAAATCCTTTTGTTAAAGGTTTGCCATATATTAAATTTTATTGTGGAGTTCCATTGATTGATGAAAAGGGGTACAATATTGGTGCGTTGTCAGTATTTGATTCATTTGCTAAAAAAGAATTTAAAGAAGAACATTGTGAAAAGTTAATTGAAGTATCAAAAGAAATTATGAAAATATTAAATACTCCATATGAAGAAATCTTTGAACAAATTAAAGTATTAGAATCAAATAAATTGGGTAATGATGTTTCTTTGAGAAACAATGAATTAAAAGAATTATCACTTAAATTAGGTCGAGCAACTAGTAGAGGTGGTACATTAATGTCAGTTTTTGAAAAAGATGGACTGGGTAATGCTTATTCACAAAATCATAATTTTAGATTTTCAAAATTTTTAAAGGAAGAATCAAATGAAGAAGATAAATTAATACAACAAGAAAAATTATCAAATTTTAATAAATTATATCAAGTTGGTAGTTTAAAAATTGCAGCTTCGATATTATCGAAAACTATATCTACAAATTGTAAAATTGATTTTGTTTATTTCTTAGAAATTAGAATCTCTGAACAATTCACCATTTCAAATAAGTATTTCCCTCCAAATGTTAAAAAAATTGATGCTGAAAAATTTAAATATGCCAATAAATTAATTAAGGTTAATGATTCAGAAGGAGCTAATGTCGATTTAATGACTAGAATCATTGGAATATATGGTTCAAGTCATCAGGCTTTAAATTTCGAAAATTTAATTCATTATAAAGCTTTTTTATCAGAATTTGGGATTAAGTACGAAAATCCATCTAAATTAACTCCTTATAATAAAGGGATTATCATGCCATTTTATCGATATAATTGCAAGTTGATAAGAAAAGATAAAGGCAAAGATATTGGAGGTAATCAAAAGATTAATGTTTATCTTAGAAGTGGTGGATATTTAGTTGGATTATTTAATAAATCAATCCTGAAGAATTCATTTGATTCTCAATTAATATCAAGGGTTTTCGATAATACTAATATTTTAAAGACAATCTATATTACAGGTGATTAAACAGGCATACATATATATCAATCATAGTCCATATCTCTTAATGCATCTAATCCTTCATCGTCTGATTGATGGTCGATTTGTTTAGGTTGTAGATCATTAATATCTGGTAAATCAGATTGTGTATTCTTTGATTTCAAAGCTTCTAGTATATCTTCATCGTCAGAAAAGTCATCTTGATCATTTGAAGCATTGTTATTTTTATTCAAAGCTTCATCAGTATTTATAATTTCTTCATCATCACTTGGATAATCATTTCCTACGAATAAATCATTTGATTTAACATTCATAAAACTCCAGTCGTCTTCGTCATCATTATTATTTGGTTGTTCTGGATCAGCGTATAATTCATCATCATCATCAATCTGTTTATTAATATGATCAAATAAATCTTGATTATCTGATTTTTCATTCGAATGAACAATTATACCATTTGCTCTTTTATAATCATTAATTTCTTTTTCAATTAAGCCCTTTCTATAAATCTTCAAACTAGCAGCATTTGGACCACTGCCAAAATTTCTCAATAATTGTATACAATCTTTAAAATTAGCTTTTGGGAATAGCGAATGACACCATAATTGATAAAAATGTAATACTAATTCTAAATTATCGTAGGATTGTTGTAATTTCAAGTTTTTCAATTGACTCGAACTGAATTTAGTTTTCTGAATCTTCTTATTGAATCTAGAGTCTCTATTTTTCAAATTTTTAATTAACTTTGGATGATTTTTGATTATATATTTCAACCCAGTTGGTTTATTCAAGAGTCTATCATTATCGATTTTGGCAATTTTATGTGATTTATGAATCTTAATTGTTTGGTCCAAACCTAAAGCATCTTCTTCAACCGGCTTAGAAACCTCTGGCAAATTATCACTAACGAATAACTCGTCCATAATGTCTTATTTGAAGGATGAAGATTGATTTATTGGGACTTAAAGACGCGTCTCTTGTATATATAAGTCACTTGGTGTATGGGTCTAATTTCACACTCACGTGATAAGAAAGAATGTACGGAGGTTTATCTGGCGACTTCAAGTACATCTTTTTGTAATAGAACAGAGAATGATCAAGTGATAGAATATCAGTTATCACTATGAAATAGAATATCAGTTATCACTATGAAATAGAATATCAGCTCTCACTATGAAATAGAATATCAGCTCTCACTATGAAATAGAAGTAAGACCAAGAGAACTCAAAACGAAAAACACAGTACATAAAATTAGACTTTTAGAAGTCGGATAATTCTGACTCAAGGAATAGTAATTTGAATTTTTTTTCTAAAGAGATCTTTTTATATATGGGAAAGCTTCTTGATCCCATGTTGGAAAATAAGAATCTCATGATTATGGCGCTTACCTTTGATTTCTTGGATGCCACTTTTCAGGTTCTAATCTCTTTTGAATGCAAAACCACGTATTAGATTGCAAAAAAGAATCTCAATTAGAGAAGACACGGTCTAAACTTTAGAATAAAAGATCGAGACATTTAAAAGTATTGTATTACTAAATAAGATTTTAAGATAAGAATAGATTGTAAATAGAAGAGAATAAGAACTATCTTGAGAAATCAAGCACTATGTTAAAACAAAACAGACGATGCAATTCATATGATGTATATGTACACAAGTGAAGGAACCCATTCAATTATACAGACCTAAAGTAGAGATGAAAGAGAGATTCTGAAACACACTTTTACTTAGGAAAAGTGCACAGATCGCTGCACTGATGCAAAGCTTGTTTAATTTGAAACAGACGTGCATCACAAGAAAGTGGCAGTTGATATACATTGCCTAAATCCCAGGTTAGCATAAGTAGAAACAAACTCCCACTGGTTCCCTGAAAAGAATGTTTAGTAATTATTTAAAAGGCTTCAATTTAACAGTGGTAATAATACACCCGTACACAGTTTGTTTTTGCAACCGAAGCAGAGTATTTTTTTGATTTTAGTTGCAAACATAAACTTACCACAAATCACAAGAGTCTTTAAATACCAAATTCAACTATATCATCTTCAGAATCACAGCTCATTCAAGTCAAAACATGAATTCAAAGTACTATGCTAAGATCTTGAAAAGTCAAGGTGACGAACTTAATGAGTATGATAACAACATCCCACCCGAGAAATTGATGGAGATCTTTCCTTCTGACAACATTGTTTACGTCAACTACATTCCTCCTGATGTTATGATAGAAAGGTATCGAAACCAATGGTATGATGATAATCAGTTAAATGACCATAGATTAGTCTATGTCAGTTCTATTTCAATCGCCGGATATACTTATTCTGGAAGAATTGAGTTTATCAAGGCATCCACGCACGAGCTATTGAAAGAGAAGTATCCTCGTAAGCGGTTGATATACATCAACAGTGTCACACCTGACTTGTTGGAAATGATGAGTCCTCGCGAAAGGTATAAGATTAAGTCCGACTTAGAAGGGATGGTAGTGACCTCAGGCCAGGTCGATATCCGCCTATTGGTTAACATGGCCATCCCTTTTTTTACAATCTTTTTGAAACCTGATGAATTGAAAAAAATCACGGAAAGCCTGAGGGTTCATGGTGCTAAACCCAAAAGTGAGTTAGTCAAGTTCCAGTTGATATTAGAAACTGAATTGAATGACAAAATATTTAACAAATTAAAACGTTTTCAACAGTGTTTAAAGGAGGAGATTTTAAGACCAGGCGAAGGAACCTACGAAGATAAATGGCTTAGAATAAGCGGAGCATATTCATTATATTATTCTTGTTCATTTCCAGAAAACGAAGCAGATTGTCTTGATCTCTTTAAACATTACATTGGATATCCGACAACCAGTTTTCTTGCTGCTGCAGGCCATGCTATTGAACTTACAAAAAATCAAATGGTTAGTGACAAAAGCAGTCAGGTGAGTAGTAGCAATGGGAGATCAACAGACCAGGTTAAGGGAAGACCGGACTTGCTTTATTCGAAGAATAAAGTCCCTTTATTGATTGTTGAAGTTAAGGGCCCCCGTTTTAGTGACTTGGTCAAAGATGGAATTAATGAATCAAGTGAGGCTTTCAAATCAATCAAAAGGCAAGTAGGCAGATACTTCGTTGTCTGCAAAACAACTCGTGCTATGATAACTAATTTCCACCACACCCTTTACATAGAAATTGATGAATCTAGACTCAGTCAATTG